CAAGCTCAATCGAATCATCTCTAGCAGATTCAACTGGATCATCTATAATAGGTTCGTAAAGTTCATATATTAAAAATTTACCAATTATATTACGAAATATCTTATTCATAGTATCTGTATAACTTTTAATTTTTCCGAAAACATAAGCAATTTTCTTTAATTTCATTTTTTGCAACACATTCTTCTCTGTTAACCCATTTGGGTCGCCATTTGGATAATCATCATCCAAAAATTGAGAAGGATCACAAAATTTTTTACCATGGGGTGGTGCATCACCAATGTGGAAAAGAATTCGAGTACCACCTTTCCAAGTCATTTGAGTTATAGCAGCATTAAGTCCTCCTAAAACATCTTCAGCAAAATCACCACCACCAAAAGCTTTTACAGTAGATAAATTTTCACTAAAATCTTCGCAAGAATCGGTAAAATCAAAAATTTTCAAACGATCATTTTTATCACAATAATCGCGATATCCACAAAAACCAAGTCTAAGTTGAAAGTTTGGATTTATATTTTCAACGTATTCTGACACTTCTAAAATACAATCTTTTGCAGCGGCAATATGATTATCCATAGAATCTAAATGAAAAAATTAAAAGAAGACAGAGATTAATAATTGAATTTAAAGTAGTAAATAATGCAAAATATGAAAAGAAAAAAAAGGTACATACCAGTACAATCTAAAACAAAACAAAGATCAATTTTCATAGAGTTATCGATTTTATCAATTATTTTCTTTATACTAATTTCTTTTTTATCTATATTCCTTTCTTCATCTTTTTTAAGTCCTTCTATACTGAGGTCCAATTTTTCAAAGACATTTGAAAACCAGGAAGGAAGTGCTAAACTATCAATAATTGTCTCGTTGTCATTGTCTAATATAATGGAATTTTTTGCCTCTATCGATCTATTAAAATCATCGGAAATCCCTTTTATAACCTTTGGAGAAATTTTCTTTTGTACCATTTTGTTAAAAGAAAGGTTCAGATTTGAATCTTGCGATTTTATGAATGATATATTGCATTTTTATATATTATAATTAGAGAAACGTACGCACTATAAACACCGATACGAATTTCCTAAATTATTCAATTTAATAACATAAAAATATAACCTTAATTTTCGTGTTATCTCGATAACGATTTATATTGCCTGAAAAGTACAAATATAATTCTTTTCAAATCGTTGTGATCAAGATTTGTCATTACACATTTTCGTACGTAGTACGTAATCAACCTAAAAAATTTTCGTTATTAGCGTTAGCGTTAGACTTTGTTTTGATTTTAAGACTCCTGACCTTAAATTTTATTTTTAGCTACATATATAGGGGGGGTTAAATTTTTAGGTAAAAAAAAAAGCCAGTGATTGGCTAAAAAGTATAATTTTATTCCCGCCACTACAGCCCACCTAACATCGCCACCAAAATTAGGTATGTATAAACTTTACAGAAACTAACTGCATAGTACGTAACGAAGTACGTACAGTATATACGTAGTATAAATATAATTACATATATATATTATATATATTAAATTTAATATAGATATATATATATATATATATAGTTATTATGCAGTTACTGCGCATTAAGAGATTTAAGTTTCTGTATAGAACGTGCAAAGTTTAAATTCATTCACCAATAATATGTATATTAGTAATATTTTCTTTTGTCTAAACTGAGACTCATTCTACTAATCCTTGTTCGCCTTGTCGAAAGACGAAACCTTATCATATTTCTAAGAAGTTCTTAAATTTAATATTAAATATATATATAACAAAATTCGTAAACTTTTTTTTTTTTTTTTTTTTTTTTACTACAAAGGTCAAAAAAATTTTAAAATATTATTGCTCTTTACAAAAAGATGTGGCCTCTGCAGATCAATTCTATCGATTTCAAGAATTTTATCGATTTCAAAGAAATATAAACGTAACCGTTCGAAAATATAAAACAATTCCCTCCCGATCATCATCACAAATCATGTGGTCACGTCTTTTTGCAAAGCGCTATAATAAAATATAAACTTAATAAATATCGATATTAATTGAATTTAAATAATCACATTTTAAAAATGTCCCAATTTATATGTAATCAGATCAATAATTACTGTGACCAAATTATTTCTTTGAATAACTCGAATAAATAAATAAAAAAATCTTGGATTGAAAAAATCGTGATTTTGCAAGTTTCATATTAATCGAAACGATATTCAAGCTTAGATCAAAATTTAAACAGCGATTACATGCATGATTTGTGGCAATACTAGGCGGGTTTTATATTATCAAAAATTTTAATACTGTAGTGGATATATAATATATATTTTTTTCAAACTTTAAGCGAAGATTTCTTAATATCATTTTGATCAGCATCGATGTTTTAGGATCTTTTTGAATTCTACTTGTCTGTAGAATTTGAAAATAGTTGCAAATTTCAAAATAAACAGAACATTATTGAAGTACTTTAGTTCAGAGTTTGTGAAAAACTAAAAATTCCCATCATTATTTGACTATAAACAACCAATTCTTGTGTATTAGTATACATTAAAAAAAAGCAAAAATCAGGGAATTTTTTATCTGTAAGCGAGATATTTGGATTTATTTGTAAAAAAAACTATAATTCTGAGGAATTTCAAAAATTTCTGTGTAATTGTATAAAATATAGGCCTTATGATATAAGGCAACTCGCCAGAGGCGTGACGTTGGTGATTTGGGTTATATAATATAAAGGGAAATTATTATTGAGCTAGTAAGCTTATGTGCCCTTCCTCGCACATAAGTGTCGTCCTTTTTATAC